GAATGATTCCAAGCACTATGTACAGATGACAGAAATAGAGACTACAAAATCAAACAGTTGGCGCGTAGGGACAATAACGCGAATCCTAGCTATCATTTCCATTAGCATAACTTTAGTCAAGGGGTGCCAACAGACGATACTTATTTCATCCTCCATGTCCGAATGCAATTCAAAGAACGAAACATGTGGTAACACGACGACAATCGTTGCGAAATTCAATACAATGCAGTCTGAACTTTGCTTAAGGTTACGCGATGGTGACTATCAAACACACCTTATGAAGATATCAATTCAAGAACTCATATTAAGATGCCAGAAGGAAACCTTGTATTTCACTAGGTCCACAGAAACCAAGGTAATGTACAGTAAAAGATGCCCACTAATGGGCTCATGTACGGGCCCCAAATGCAGAAACATTTCACCTGACACGAAAGTAAAAGAATTAGACCTTGCAAATAACTTCACTGGCATTACATATTGCTCAGAATCTTGTGGGGGTCTAGGATGTTCGTGCGGATTTCCATCATCCGGGTGTCTTTTTTACCGTGTATACCACACTCCAAAAGATAATGACATATTTGAGGTATTCCAATGTCCGTCGTGGCGAGAAACTGTTAAATTCAAAATAGAAGATACACATGAAGACAAAACATTCACAGGAGAAATCAAACCTTTCACGAAACAACGCATAGGAACAACTGATATGGAAGTAACCCAACTTTCTTTTGCACCCATACCAATACTAAACAAGCGATTTCTAACCAATTATAAAACAACAGCGTATCTAACCGAAGATACCACCTTGAGCTACGCATGCACCTCACATCCAGAAAACGATAATTCATCCCATACCTGCATGATACGTGATACCTGTAAGTGCAATCCTGCGGAAGACGCCGTGAACTGCTATTGCACTCACAACGATATCTCCCAATTCACGCAACTTACGAACATTCTTCCATTACCAATCTCGAACGGAATTGTGGTACCGGGAACCAAGAAATTACCAAGAGTCCACACAACTGCAATTGCTGTAGAGCTCGCAATTCAATTGCCATCCACATCAATACGAATACAACAAGATGTCGCAGAATTCCAGTGCAACGTAATTCACAAATCTCTTATAGGGTGTTATAATTGCGCCAAAGGTGCCATCGCAACAATTTGGTGTTCTACCAATATCGAACGATCCATTGCACAAATAACGTGCACCACACAACAATTTGTAGTCACTTGTACTCGTCAAGGAACCACAAACCATGTGACCTTGTTTTTTAGTACTGCACGCGTAGAAGAAATATGCAGAATTCAATGTAGCACACACATCACAATAATCAAGATGCAATCCACCTTAAATTATGTCAACGGTATTAAACCCTTCTTGAAGTACTTACGACCTTTGAGTAATATGACACAACCATCCAGCTCACTTGACATTGATTGGGAGTTCCCAGATGTAATGCACTTCTTTGAAGTCTGCAAGGCGTTCTACAAGTACACAATAACCATGCTTCTCATACTAGCTTGCGCAATTTTTATCAGTGCAACGCATCTATGCTCGTCCGAGCACAACATTCCAAGACGACAAGCCTCCACTGTCATGAACACAGCATTTCCCTTCGCACTGGCTTGCGGTTCTCTTACCGCTATCACCTCTTTTCTCAAAATGCCTGTCAAGGTTACAAAAGTAATCATCCGCTTAGTCTTTCGAATAATAAGACATCTTTTTCGACTCCAATAGTTTTTAATTCAATTGAAATTCCATTTGCCGTTCGCAAAAGATCTCGCACGTATCTCGAGTCCACTCAGACCGTTGTATAGGCGCATTTCAACTCGATTTTCGCTAGTCAATTTTCCAACCTCTATACAAGTATTACAGGATGTCTGAATCCGAACACGCCAAACGTTCGGAATCAGATGACACAAGCGAAAACCCAGATGTGGAACAGACGAATCCCCAGCCCGAGTCAGACCAGCTGTCGAAGATCGACAGAAAACTTACGCAAGTTCAAGTCCGCACACTCGATCTCCATTCCATTAAGGACAAAGTCGACACAATGCACGTGCGTTCACTCACCTTTCCTTACTAATCCTTAGAAAGAGTGTAAACAAATTTAAGAGCAACGTCTGTAGAAGACAGATATAAATGCAATCTAGAGCCCGCAAATTTAAGTTTTTAATTTAAGAAACGCAAGGGCGATAGTACGCAGCGCGATCACAAACGATCGAAGAGTAGTAACTCTCCTCCACACGTTTCCGAGATAGACCCTAAGTCCACTAAGGTACTCTAAAGATTCAGTACACATTCCAAAAGAAAATCCAAATGCCACTTTCAGGGAATGATGGTAAAAATCAACAATAGGCTGGACCGTCTTGAAGAAATTGTAAACGAAACATAGAGCGAAATCGAACGCGTAATCGACGCACAAAACGGAGTAGAACTGGGAATCAAGCAACGAATCCACGACCTCCGGGATCAACTGGAATCATTCATAAAGAAGAATCTTGAAGAAGTCGGTAATCATTTAACTAACATAGTTCAAGAATCCCAACCACGTCCAAGTAATGTACTCAACACAAACAAATTCAAACCCCGCAATGAACAGATCTGTCCATTTTGTGAGGGCAATCATTTCGCATCTGATTGCCGTAAATACTCGCGTTTATTTGAAAGACGCAAACAACTCAATTTAAAAGAGAAGTGCGAACGATGTCTTCAAGCTGCCAATCATATGACCACGTCTTGTAGGAAAAAAGATCCATGCCATTACTGTCTTTTGGAAAAAAGAGAAAGCGAAATGGGCGGACACCATTCCGCTTTCTGTCCGTTCAAGTTCCCATATTGAGATTCCAACAAAATACAATACAATTT